TTTTGTTCGCATTTAGTTCTTCTACTACATTAAATTGATTATTCTGCACTCTTTATTGTGTCTTTTTCTTGTGTATGATTACAAAAAGAATATGATTAAGTGGTAATTGAACTGAGTGGAGTGCAATTTTGGTCTGAAATCAAACTTGCGATTACAAATCGCACTCCCGCTACGCTGTCTTGCGATTTTGTAATCGCGCGTTTGATTTCGGACCAAATTGCACTCCACTCAGTTCAATTACCATCACTTATTGAAAGGTCAAGCCGTTCTGGCGCTTTCGCACTAATTGTGGACTTTTTTCGTTTACACCCACTACCATTACATTCAATATTCTATGCACACAACTCTCAGCTCACTTGTTTATTTTTACGGAGGGAGGACACCGGAGAACCCGGAGAAAACCCACGTAGCATAGGAGAGAACAACACATCAAACAAACTAATCAATTCACATGTGGCGACCGCAGGGCTCGAACCAGCGACGACCCGACCCGAAAGACGACGCGTTAGTCACGAACGCCATCCATGCTACCCAAATGCAAGTCCCTTTACCATCGACCACTTTAGTTAACTTTGATTCAGTAATTCGGGGTGTAAACTATGATAAATCCGTGTTTGATATTATTGAGTATGTAAAGTTTTGGTGAAAAAACTCGTATGTCTTGAGCCTGAATGTAATTCAGACAAAATTAAAACCCGTCAGTGTTTTCGCCTAGTGAGAGTGGAGGAGAGCCCATTGTGGTCCAGAGGTATTGGCAGGGTTTGCAGTGTGGCAGCTTTGTCGTTGTGTTATGGTTTAGCCAAGTGCTTGTGRAAAGATTTCTACCTCTCACCCACCTCTCAGAAGCAAGTATTGGACATGGTAAGTATCTCCACCGCGGTAGGTGTGATGGATGCCAGGTGGGCGGTGGACTGTGGCGTGGTTGTCATGGTCACCTCTGCGCACGTGCTAGTTAGGCTCGAACATCCCTCGCACCCTGGCACTCAACCCAAACTTAACACTACTATGAGTTTTAATTGAAAATAAATTATAACTAGGACACATCAGAGGAATTATATATATATAGGAAAACAAAAGAGACGATGCAAAAATTATGAGTTTTATTTTTGTGTATCCCACTTATTATTAGACTCCTTGTGTCAGAAGGTATTTTTAGAATGAATGTTTTTAAGTTTATAACTGCATAAAAATTTAAAAAATATAAGATGCAAATACAAATTAATCTTAAAACATGAATAAAACCAGTACAAAAGCTTTGGGCCCCATTTTGCGACCTTAAAATTCTATGCTAATATTCATGCATGAATAAACTATTTTTGTCAGAGTAGAGAGACATGTTCGACACGTTTCCATCAGGACTTCTCTGTTTTTATTGCTACGTACACGTTGTTATTGGAATTATTGCAAGAATAAACCTCGATTGATATCCAAGATGCATTACTCTAATCTTATATTTTACCATTCAACTATTTACTTCATGTTATTGTAGAATCAAACATTGAAAATACTTAGTTAGGGGTGAGGGAACGTTCATATTGTTATGACATTAGTGACTTTTGCAATAAAAAAGATTAATAGACTAAGCAAAAAAAAAACAAAAGTCCACAGACTACATTGCGTTTGGTAAGCTTTCTGGCCAAGCCTGAATAAGAAATGGCTCTCCCGTAATCACCGCGGTCATAGGCTGAGTTAACCTATAGGAAAATATCAAATTTAAGATCAATTGGCATTTTTTGCTTGGATGGGATGGATGGAGGGATGGAGGGATGGAGGGATGGAGGGATGGAGGGATGGAGGGATGGAGG